CCAACACGGCAAAGTCAAGCGAAACTGCCCCGCATGCAACGCCTGCCCTCATGGCAAGGTAAAGCACCGCTGTTCTCAGTGTGGTTGCCATGGCAAGGACGAGCGTTACTGCAAACAGTGTGGTGCTTGCCAGCATGGCAGCATAAAATGCAGTGCATCATGCCCGCACGGGAAGGCTAGCGAATCTGCTCTCAATGCCGTCTCTGTCCTCACAGAGCTAAACGCTGCCTACAGTGCAGCTCGTGACCACATGGCAAGTTGAAGCAAAGCTGTTGCACGTCTCCAGCGCTGAGTACTAGAGAGGCTTGAGAGAGGTGGGCTGATTGCAGGTGAGCTGGTTGGAGTTGGTTGATTTGAGAGTAGGATCAAGTGAGCATGTTAGCACTAGGCTCAGAGCAAACAAATAGCTTGCAATTCCAGCCTTTTTGAAGGCAATCCTTCGTCCTTCTATTGGGTTACGAAAGTAGGGTGCCTTTCGTAGCATCAAAGTTCGGAGTTGTTTCCTCAAAACACTTGCTTCGCGTAGCACTCAGGCTCCCAAAACATAACTCTGAACTCTGCGCACTTGGGTGTGTCTCACAATAGGGGACCCAACAAATGGTTGGGTCCTTTGACATCCCTTTAAAACCACTTCAAAAGGAGCAATATTGACCCCGGATCCTATGGGGGTGTCACCCGCAGAAGTGATGAATCAATTGCAAGGACACCTGCTATAGGACGGGTACTCCGGGATCCACACCCACTTGGGACTAGGCAACTCAGATGGGGACCTCGATCAATTCGGCAGCCTCAGCCCCAGAGGTAATTCAGCGATGGTCAAGGCAGCCGAAAAGTGGCCAGGGTAGACAGGGTCTTGTTCAGGGGACAACGACCATGTCGAATACATAACAGAGACGAGGAACGTTTGTTTGGGATTGCCGCCGTACAGTTTCACAATCAACTGCCTCACTTGTGGCACTTGGTCATAGCAGCCCGGCCCAATTGGATTAGAGGTACAGACAACATAGGCCGATAGGGACCACCCAAAACAGATACCCTTGCTTTTTCTCTCCGTTGTTATAGTATGCCCTGCGACCAACATGGACTCTGAAGGGAGGTCCCTGGTAGACCATGACGTGTCTCTAGCCTTCCTTAGAAGCATGTGCGTTTGCTTGGAGCACCCCCGAAAATCGATAGACCCTCTTGGCCGGCATGGAACCTGTCTGGGACGACAATTATCCATTTGTAAGTGGACAGGAGGGTGCCCAACTGGGTAGCCCACTTTGCGCCAACTCTTTGCCTTTATTCCTCTTGCCTTTTCATTCGCAGGCCTGCGATGGGACCAAGCACCAGCGCCTCTTGGGTAGCACAGCCACTGAATCGGATCCTACGCTTTCGTAGAGGTGAATAAAAAAAGTGTCGCGTTGCAATGTTTGCTATGGCTTGCGGCTTGCATTTGGTTTCTGTCCGCTACGTGGGGAATCCACAGAAAGACGATTAAAGTCTTCAATACCATCGCGAGTCGCCGGATTCGGCATGGTACAATGTCTGAACATGTTGCAATTTGGGCGCTGCAAAATCGCCCAAATTTGATGTGTCCAAAAGGAAGCCAAAGGGGGACACATATTTTATATGTAGCTCCCAATCATGTCACGAGAACAGACCCGCAAGTATGGCACATTCGCCCTTCCTCAATTCAGTGTGGCTTGGCTGCAGAGTGCCCCCCGATTCAGTTTTTTGAGGCAAATTGTCACCTCAAAAGACCATTGGGCAATATCGGAGCCATGCTTAGATGCACCAAGTTGCTGGGAAGCGTCTTTGAATTTTCTGTGAACTCACTGCCTCGTTTCTCAGGCTGGTGAAGGGAGCGCGGAAGGTCTGTAAACACAAGGAATCCGCTTCGCAATTGGGAAGCCGTTGATTGGGTAAAATCCAATCAGGTTTTTTTTGTTTAAAGAACAGAAGAAACATGATACACATATATATATATATATACAGTATATACAGAATGGGACATCGATATGCGTGCCTGCATGCGAGGGAATACAGAGAGAGAGAGAGAGAGAGAATGGCGCCCACTAGGTTTGGCCCACCAAAAACTAGTTCACTCTTGGCACCCACACAGACACCCGGCCTGCTGAATGGAGAATGTCCTTTCGGCCCCAAACAATCAAACAGTTCAACTGTACAAAGCTGCTGCCAATACTAATTCCATTCATAGTCTCAAGAGTCTCCCAGATGGAACTGGACAATTTCTTTTTGCATGGTATCATCACAAATCAAGATGTGACAAACTCAGAAAGGGCACCTACTGTAATCAAGGCCAGTCCTTCTCAACAATAGAAGCAATCCCCCTATTAGAATCCTGACACTCTCCAGACTTAGAAAGACACGACGTTTCCTTTCGCTTTCCTATGGTCTTTGTATCGGCCAGAGCAAGACCATAGGGAGACGACCGGATTGGGTCGGGAGACATCAGGTTGGTCCTACCAGAGCCTTCAGCTGCAAGTGGCCAGCCGGTGCCTCGCCGTTGCCGTGGCGACCGGCAGCTTCAAACTCCGCTGCTCGCCAAAGCAGTGGATGGGACTGGCATGGTGTCACCTGACTGGGGTTGGTGCAACATCACCACCCCCTTCATCCTTAATTTGTGCTGGGGGGGTCAAAAATGTAAGTCCCCCCCCTTAAGGAGGTGGTGTTGGTGCAACCTTTGAGGAGTTGGATTACACTCTGCTTGTAAACGCATCTCCAATAGCTGGAGCTGCTAGCGCTGCCCAGCGCCTCTTCTGGTCGTTTTTTGTCCAAAGGCTTCCGGGTGTTTACGACTCGGCCTTAGGGGCTTGAGGCTTCCGCTGGGAGCCAACCCGAACTCAGGTTCCGTTTTGTTTTGGTCCGAAGCAACCCGGAGCAATAAACAAAGAGCCTCTCAGCCGTCAAACCTGGATGACTCCGGATTCTTTGGACCTTGAACCCCATAACCAGGTTTTTCCAGGTTGGTGCTGTGTCCTGCAAATGCTTCGAAGCAACCAGCGTGTGTCCCTTGATTTGCGATTTGCGCTTCACGCATCTCAGGTGTCACCAAATGCTCGAGCCTTGGCAATATTTCGGAGCTTGTCCCGACGCATCTGCTTCGGATTTGGGAATGTAATATCGCTCCTTGATTCACCCCCCCCCCCCCGCTTCGTTGGGCGTATCTTGAAATAGTGGACGTCCAAGAACGGTGATTTTCCTATTGGTGCCCATTCAATCGGGAAATTCGGCACCCTCAAAAATACAAACCGTTTATTTATCGGAGGTCTCCTTTGTTGAGATTCCTTTCTTGCAAGGAGCCCCCTACTGAATAGCTCGGGGCTAATCAATATGAGGCTATATCCCCTATTTCAGAGTGGGTGTTTCTTGCAAGCAACCCTAGAAAGCAATATGAGCCTATCTCCCCTATTTCAAAGAGGTGGTCCTTGGAAACAAAGAACAGAACGGATACCCCTCAAGATCTCGGTGACCGAGCTATCATATGTGACCCTCTGTCTCGGTCAATAGTAAAATAGGCTACTCAAGGTCTTGGATTTGGTTGCCCATGTGGATGTGCCGCAAGCAAATTCCGGATCCCTCCAAACTTGGTTGGTATCCCTTTTGGTTTTCCCTTGGAACCCGAAACAACAGTGATACCTGCGAGTAAACCGATTGACCACCTGCCCGCTGGCACCCGTGTGTTCCTTTCTGTCGAGGTTTGTTTCCCACATGATGTGTTTTTGCTCTTTTTGTTTTGTTTCCGTATTTTGACGAGGTGTTTGTTTTTCTCAAGTCTGGTTTCCTGGCTGTTCAGTTGGTTGGTCGGTTGGCCAGCATCACCGGACTCACTTGGACCTTGAGTTTTGGGATTGGTTTGGAACGCACCCAGACCCAGCCTGGATATCAGTAGCGACAAAAAGCACCTCTACCGGTTTCCGACAAAAAACACAGCGCTGGGCTTGCTTTTCCATGGTCTGCGAGCAGTACTGGAAGTTTCAAGCGCATCCGAGGGGCGAGCCAGAGCAGCAATGGATTTGGGAGTAAAAAGCCGGGCGCTTGCGGCGCTCAATCGATACGCTCAACGGACGCTCTCTTTTGTCCAGTTGGTTCCCAAACTCACTCCCTGAGTTCCCGGACTTTAACTCTTTGCGGATCCCTTATTTCAGGTGTGTAAACAATGTAGAGGGGATCTACCACGCCAGGGTTCCGGTTTTTGGTTACTCTCAAATGGATCAACAAGCCAAGGGCACATTCCTTCATGGACAACTCCCGTGGGCAACTCCAGCAAGGGCGCATTGTGAACTCACCAACAAAAGCTTACATGTTTGGCCCATCATCTACATAAGCATATACGTATATATATATAATTATATATACATAAATACATATGGCCTGGTCTCATGCCGCTCGGGTATGGGTCGGGTATTGAGGTCGTATATGTCCACCTCCAAAGCAGCGGCCGTTGAATTCAGCCCAAACCACATATTGACTAAAACGCGTTTGCTTGCAAAGCTCTAGGCGGAAGATTCTGTGGGATTCCTTTGTCATGTCGCGGCTCTCAGGCCAATTCGAGGCAACAAGCCAAAGGTCGGACGGTGGATTGACCAGATTGCTTCAAGAAGCGTGGCTTTTCTTTGGACCCAATTTTGCCATATCCATGTCGCCTTTTTGTTCAAGGGGACGGCCAACATGTTTCTCAAAATGTGTGGGACTATGCAATGGTTATACTAGGCACCACGTTTCCCCTAACCTTGCATTTGCCAAAGAAATTTCTTAGGTTCCCTTGGTTTTGAAGCGAATGTATCACTGGGGCGATGGTTGTGATTGGGCAAAACCGCCACATGGAAGTGGGTCAAAACCAATACCATTTTGAGGGGGGTGCACCGGGGATTGGGGAGGATCGGGATGTTCACGGGGTACCCGGGCTTTTGAAAAGCCCACCGCATGGAACCGGGTTGTGAATTTGCCCAAGGAGAACTCCCAACTGGGCGCAACTCTGGGTGCATCTCAGCCAGGCGGAGAAGGAGCCGCCAGCCGGGCCAGGCTGGAGCCGGACAACGCTGGAGGCGTTTGGGCCCCTTTTTTGGCCTTATCTAGGTCCCCCAGCTGGGTGCCCTTTCTTACCGTGTTTTTTTGGGGAGGGTTCCTCTACTAGAATGGACTACAGAAAAAAGGGTACCCTTATTCTAACCTCTTTACTGGAGGGCCTAGTTATTAGTCGGGGCGATTTGGGGGCCCTTCACACCCAGAGGAAAACTGGGATCTCCGTTGAATTCATGTTAGATGTTTGGCCTCACTAAATATGAATCAAACGTATGTTGGGCGGGGGAGCAACATCTGGGGTAGAGCGAGGCCGGGCAAGCGCCCCCACTGCCTACTAGCGTCAGGCTTTTGTTCAGTGGATTTCACGATTGGGAGGCCCCTGCTAGCCTACCGGTAGATTGCCCTAACAACACGAAGGTCCCTGCACATGGGGAAGTTCCAGGATTTGATCTTTGACCCCCAACACCCTCTAAAAAGGGGCTAGGTCCAGAGAATAGGTTGTCATCCCGGTGCAACAGAGAAGCCCTTGGCCGCCTCTTCCCCCCTCCCAAAAAGAACCAAAGATTCAGAACCGCCCCTCCCCCTTCCTAAAAAACCACACACACAAAAAGCAGAAGACGAAGACGTCTTCTTGCCCAAAAAACGCCCTCCCCCATCCATCGAAACACAACGGGACTCCACTCGAAGGGCTGCGAGTGCTGGAGCTCTTCGCCGGCATCGGCGGGATGCGCTGCGCCCTGGAGAGGTCACAGCTCCAGGCCGAGGGTTGGAGTTCACTTATGCAGATGGACGAAATCCAATTCGCACCTCTTTGAAACCATGGCTGAAGCCATTGTTTGTAGCTATTTACAGGGGCACCATTTCATTCTTGGGGGGTTCCCCTAGTAAAATCGACTACACAAAAAGGTGTACCCTGGTTCTAACCTCTCTACCGGAGGACCTAGTTTTACTTATGGGGGTTGATTAATATTCCTGGCATCAAAATGACCATGTCATGGGTCGAAAGCCCGTACCGCCAGTGAACATCCCAATCCAAACTAAATTAGACTAAAATGGGTGGTGCACCTACCCCAAAATGGTACCATTGGTTTTGACCCACAGCCAAATGACCATGGGACCATGTTTTTTGGTGGTTTCCTCATGGTCTCATCCCATGTGCAGGGATTTGTTGATCAACCCGCATACACATACATATACATCTACATATGAATATATACTTATACACATACACACACATCATATACATAGACGTGGACATGGATGTAAACATAGCCAGTCCATGCTGTCCGCCGTTGTTTCTTTCCCAAAAAAGCCCAGCCCTCCCGCTTTCTTCTCCAGGCTCGGGTGGTGGCGGCCATCGACGTCTCGGAGCTGTGTGAGAAGGCGACTCACAGATTCCCAGCTGCGGGGCCGGGGTAGATGCTCAGCGAAGAACTGGAATGAGCCCTATGAGCCATTTAACTGGTGGCTTCCTTTACTTCCCCCATACCTATCGCACCAGCAAGACTCACATGTGTGAAGCTTCCAGAAGGCCTCTGTAAACGGAACCAAGTCTTCCATCTCGGAGTCCTGGGGTTTTCCAGGTGAGTCTGGGGGCGGGTACCTGATTTGACAAGGTCCAACCAGCGAATCGGGCGGTTCCTTAGGTGTTTAGACGTTTTTAGTTGGCTGAGTGCTTGGGCTTCCACATGAAACCCACAAGTTAAACTCTGAGCAGGAGATCTGAGGACAGCCCTGGTTTGACGAGGCCAATCTAAGAGGCTGAATAGTCAAAACTCCAGAAGGGCTCCTCATGGTGTGTGTGTGTGTGTGTGTTTGTTTTACTGTACCAAAGGAATTTGTCGGTCTTTGGGAGGTGTTTTGCACTTTTCCAAGAACGCAAGAAGCCATCAGTTGCCCAACACAAAAATCCACAAAAAGCAGTTTTAGACTCTATGTAACCTCGCCCCCATGGATGCACAGGGTTTACAAGTTTGCTTTGTTGTTTGTTTTTGTTGGTTTTGCACTCACCAATAGAAACTTAGGGAAAGTGCAACTTCAATTGTGCCATTCGGAAGCAAGGTTGAAAAAATAAGGCTTGAAGTGTAGAAGTCTAAACGTGCTTCAATTAGAACGATTGTTTTACATTAATATCCATCAATAAACTCCTGTCCAAACATAGCAGTTATATTGTAATGTCATGATCCAATTTGAATTCCTATCTTAAGTTACGCTTTAAATAGGAAGTGTCTTTCCAACTAGTATTTGACAAAGCTTTAACTAGTAATTGAGTATGCTTTAAGACGGAACCTATGAAACTAAATGTTTATCTTAAAATCGCGGAGCTGAAATTGCATTTAGCCTGGGTTTCTATGGTTTGTTTCCGCTCTTTTTGAGGAGCAGGCCGAGTCGAAGAAACAACAAGGCTTCCTTGCTTCATCGATCAACATCTAGTTAGACTTCAATCAAAACCTTGTACTTGAATTGTTTCGTTTTTGATTTGTTCCTATATTCTATTGTTCTGTTGTTTGAAAGCTCAAGTTGTTTCGCGCTTTTTCAGACACATGTTCAAAACATGCAAACAACATCGACTTGTCCCAAAGCACACCAAACAAGAGGAAACCAGCAGACCCCTGTGGCCACAGTTCCTAAGTGTCATTTTGTGTTTTGTGGGTTTGAAGACTCCAGGTTCGTGACACCTTTCCAAACAAGCAACTTGGGGCACAACATCCAAAACGGGCGATTTTGGGCCTGCCTATTTCTGACTTTCAATGTTCCCTAGGAGTAGCCTCCAAAATGACAAGCCCACATGAGTGGCGGTTTATATTTCCGCTCAAGCAAACATGTATAGATGTTGACGTATCAACAAAAAATGTGGCGCCGCACTGCAGTCGCGGAAGGTTTGCGGAAGGTGTTCGTTCAAGCTCGCGGAAGGGACCCTTCTGATTTTGCACATCGTAGTTTGATTTTGGTTGAGTGGTTGTTGCCAAGCACGTTTACTTGCGAATCTTACGTACGAATTCCTTCGTAAAAGTTGCCTTTTTCACTTTCCAGAAGTAACTTGCCTGCGGAAGGCCCGCGGAAGCACTGTTACAAACTTATGTAGAAACATGCTCTCGGAAGGTGCCCTTCACACGGAAGCTTCGCGGAAGGTTCCGAAGGCTTTGATACGTCAATGCAAATTTTTACAGGGAAGAGAAAAAAAACCACTCACATGACTCACATGGCAGGTTTTTGCTGGTTATACCCAGGCACGTGAACAGACCCCAAAGCGCGTGCCCTCCGAAGGCCCCGAAGCTGGCGACCGAAGCTTCTCCGAGCCGTTGGTTTTACCGGAGTTTTGAGAGTCGCAACCCATGAGAACCGCAGATTTTTTTCGGTGTTCCCTCCATTTTGCGAGAACTCCCCATGTCGTTTTCGTTGCTCTTTGGTGCGACCAAGCTCATCTTGTTGTTTTTTTTGTTTGGAAAAGTAGTTTCACACGAAGCAGTTGCAAAGTGAAGTTAGTTAGTCGGGGGTCAAAGACCAACCCAATTTCGTCAGAAGTATAGGGCCCCTCTCCAAAAAGGAGAATCTCTACGTACATAATGTGGGGTCCAACCTGATGTTCAACCGACAAAGGTCAAAAGGGGTGACCAGGGTTTCGGACAGAAATAGGGGGTGTTTCTCAAGATTTGAAGGATTGTATCCCAAGTTGGGTTTCACCCCCTTGTAAAACAAACATGGGTTGAGTGATTTAGGTGCTAGGCTAGATCTTGGAAGATTATATTAATTACATTAATCAACTACGCAGAAGACCTCTGGAGGACACCGCTAGCTCGGGTTTACAGACCCTGTTTGTGCCACCCCTGGTGAAGGGCCAAGTATCTTGCGGTTGATGTATGGAGCAACTGTTCCTGATACTTGCAGGGGCAGAGAAATGCATGTCCTGCTGACTGACGAAACATGGCATGGCAGTGGAATCACCTCGATGTTCAGCAAGCCGCGAACAGGCCTACTGCCACAACTTTGGCAAGGACGACTGGAAAAAGAAGACCATCGCAGCTCGGCTTGTTTCAGAGGTTGCATGTGCGATGCAAGGTTCGCAGAAGAGTCGGGTCAGTCCTGAGGGCAGAAGCCTGGGAAATGGGCAAATGGCGGTAGCCACTTGTGATATCAAGGTCATCCCCTTTGGAGTGGTCATGGCGATGGCCCATTGGTGTCGCAAACGGCCCCGTTTTTCACATGGGCAGAAGCCGCAGTATCATCGAGCATGATTTACGAGTGCCGTCCGCTCCAAGCGGCTTACAAGAAGCTTGTGCCGCCCAGTCAAACATCCAGAAAACAGTTTGGATGCGCTTTTTATGGATTTGACATTTTCTTTTTGTAGTAATACTTGCGTACATGCTTAATATCCTACAGGGGTGGATCCACAAAAGCCACATCCAAACCGTTTTCTAGAAAACAATGAGTCCGGCGCTGGTGGTAAGATGTAATGTCCAAATGGGATTAGTAAAGGGAGGACCCCCCCCTGAACGAAGGGGGTACCCAGAATGGTATCTTGAGATCCAGGTGAAGTGAGTTTCCATTTGATTTGGTATTGGTAGACTTGAGTTTCCATTTGATTTAGTATTGCTGGAGCTTCCTTTTGAGATTTGGAACTGAGTTTCCATTTGATTTAGAATTGCTGCAGCTTCCTTTTGAGATTTGGAACTGAGTTTCAATTTGATTTAGTATTGCTGGAGCTTCCTTTTGTTTTTCTTGGGGGGGCCAGGCAACAAGACTTTATTTCGGGGGCCCCTGAAATAATGTCAAGTTGGGGGCTGAAGTACTACCCCCTTTGTGGGTTTGATTGTTTGCAGGTTTTAAACACGAGACATGTAAGAAAACATGGGTTTGGTAAAGCTGACAATGTTGGATTTAAGGAACAAGGTACCAAAGATCCAAGGACCAGGGGTGGCTATCTCTCCTCTCCTTCCTGTCCTTTCTCTCTTTCTCTCTTCTTTTTGCGTGACTTTTGTGTGACTTTTTTTTGGGGGACATGTTTTTTTCATGAGGGGGGGGCAGGGGCTTGTGTTTATTTCAGGTGCATTCATTAATTCTTTTGGGCCCCCCAGTAGTTGTCTTTATTACGGGTGCATTCTTTAATCCCATTTGGACATTACCGGGCATCCCTGTCAATTGCGTTAGTGCCACATGATCATTTGCGTGACCTTGATGTCAGAACTTGTTCTGCGCAAAACGTGCAGGGCTCCCCTAAACGTGGGGGGGGGGGGGGGGGCGGGGAAACCCTACATTCTTGTTTGTTTTGAGGGGGGGCGGGGCGGAACCCATTGATTTATTTATTGATTTATTTTCTTATTTTGTTTGTTTGTCTTTGGGGGGGACTCCCCCCAATTATTTTGTTGTCAGAGAATTACCCATTGTATGGATAGTTTGAGGCCAACGGCGATTCAAACTTCCATTGGCTTAGAGTTGTTTGTTTGTTTTCCCCTGTTGGTTTTAAAGGGAACCAATACTGGAAATATGATGAAATATGGTCATTTCTCCCAGGAACCTTAAGCAACTGGAGGTCAAGCTTTCATTGGCTTTTGAGTGGAGGACTGTGCGTTTTGATCCCAGCTTGTTCCTTTAATCAGGCAGCTCTGGGAACATCCCATGGAGCTATCACTATTGGACATGTCTTTGTTTTTTTCCAGGGGATTACGTTAAATGGAGGCAAATAGTTCCCCAGATCCGAAATTGTTTGTCCAATTGTAGAAAGGTAGGCAGTGCTCCTTCGTCAAATGTGCCATTTCCCGTTTGAATTTGTGACTTTCTTGCACATTCAGGCCCTGCCTCCCTTAAATTGTTGGATTCCTCTGAACGACAGGCCACGTGTCTCCACATTCAGAACAATCTTCAGAATGTCGGCCATGTGTTAGCCCAAGTTTGTTCTGTTTTGTTGCTGCCAGGAGCCAATATTCCCGTGGGACATTTTTTAGTAGCTGGTTCTACTTCATGGACAAGGATCAGACCTATGTACACCACCAGTCAGGTACCCCTTCATTGGTGGATTCGTGTTTTGGGGATTTGAATCCTACCTTTTGAAACCAAGTGGGTGCTGGTGGCCTGTTCTTGGCTCGTCTTCCAAGAGGCTTTTCCTTGCCACGTTGCCTCAAGCCTAGGAATGCTTGCGACCACAAGACCTGGATGCACGGAGGCCAAGTTTTCGAGTCTTCTGGGAATGTGTGTGTGGGTCTATGGTTGGTTTATGGTTAGGATTGGTTTACGCATGGCTTAGGGTTGTTTAGGGCTTTGTTTGGGGCCCAGTGTTCTCGTTTGAACTTGTCTATCATGTTGAGGACTGCAGCAGGACATATGTTTGCTTCTGTCATCTTGAGGCACCTTCAGCAACTCAAAGCCTAGGACGGGATTTGCCATTGTTGCTTTTCCTGTTAGATTATTTTTGTTCAAGGCCAGCCAACAAGCAGCGCGTGCAACCGGGGCCTAAACAATGGCCGTGTTGCTCACCGCGGTCAATATTCACCTTCTATAACAGGCATGACGTGAGCTGATGTCAGCTAGCACGCAATGTGAGGTCTGTTAGAACCCTCCCATCCCCACTTGGTACGTTTTGTGAGGGGGTGCCATGGTAACTTGGCTGCGTGCGGGAGAGAATAGAGGGTGGGAAGGAAGGAGTGGGAAGGGAGATTCAAGAAAGTGATAGAGCCTTCCTCTTCCCATCATTTTAATTGTTGCTTACTTTCATTTTTGGAGTCTCTTCGCTTGGCGGTTTTCCCAGAGTTAAAGGGTACAACGAGGCAGGTAATTCCGGATTCTAAGTTAAGTCATGCCATCTTTACATGTCTTTCACCTCGGCTTCAAAACCATGCCTGGGTGTTTTTATTTTGGGGGGTATATTCTCGCAGACACAAAAAATGTGGTCCAGGCCTGGTCAAGAATTGTCACCGACTCACGAAGTATTGGCGCCAAAAAAACAAGACGCAACCTATTACTGGTGGGGCCGCGATGTTTTCTTACTGGACATGTAGCTCATGTGAGCATCGGAGAATATGACTGGTCCTGGTAGTCCCATGTTTGGAGGGTAAGGGGCTACCCGAATTCCGAATTTACAAACTGGGAGTTGTCCAAGGGGGTCGCATTCGTTTTCTTTATTTTTCTTTGTGCCAGCTTAAAGGGTCCACGATTTCGAGCAACTCCCATCGCATGAAATGTGTTTTTGGGACATGCGTGCTTGTCTTAAGGCTCGCAGGCAACAAGGGATCCATGATCCGTTTCTCCGAAGCGAGGCTCGGGGACCTCAAAGCATTGGGGAAGCACAGATTCACCACGAATGAAATGGCCAAAGAGTGCGAGGATGTCTTCGTATGGGCTGTCCAAAGCGCCAGCTGGACTCAGTCGGGGTCCCAAAGGTTGAAGGCAGGGGCTCATTCGAGGTTCGGAGGGTACCCTTCTTGAAAGGTTTTGGAAGCTAGCCCGAAAGGAAAAAGCCTCATATCTTCCTTTTGATGGTCACTTTGGCTGAAATTAAAACGGGAAACGCCACCATGGTCTATTTTGGGAAGCACTCAGATGTGCCACTCGGTTCAGTGGCCTTTCCGTCTGTGCCTTCCACACGGAAAGGCCCCGCTTTTTTCTTTTGGGGGGGGCGGGGGTAGGCCTAGGAGACCTACAGGTGGGACTTTTGGCTAGTCACCGAGGCCTTGGAAGCCGATCTGTGGCTGATGAGCCCCCCTTGTCAGCCCTTCACGCGCTCAGGCAAGAGGTGCCTTGGAAGCACGCTCCGAACCTCATTTTCATGACCAGGTGCAAAGAAGGAACTGTCCTCTGGAGATGTCCTATGCTGTCCTTGTATGGGGGGGTTATAGGCACACATTTTGACATGTGTTTGCCTTAACTTATAGTTTTCATGTTCAGGGCCCTTGGCTAAGGAAATCGCGTCCTTCAGGGACTACTTGTTTGGAATTGATATGTTTGGGTGCTACAGTGTTGATGTTCTTCGTGATGCCACGTTGGTCGCAACGCGGCAGACAGACCGCCTGTTTATATTGATTCCCTTCAAAAGGATCCAGCAATAGGCCCGTGATTTGGACGGCACGTTTGGTCGGTAGGACCTCATGCGGGGAGAAGGGGGAGTCCTCTTGAAATCACAGCATGGCCATTGCAGAGGTCCTGACACATCCCCATTGCTTGCGCCAGATGCCCTGATTGTGTTGGTCGAGTTGCTTCAAGTTTGGTTTTATCGAAGCAAGGCAAGCTGACCATCAAAGGTTTTGGAGAAGCCTCGCCTTGGCGGGCAGGAGCTTGGGCTTTACAATCCTTGTGTCTTTGGGGTGTTGGGGCAAATTGACATGGAGCCCGGAAACAGGGGTCAAGCCGAAGGCGTGATAGCTTTTGGGATTCCATGTTCATTTGCAGGGGAGCATGTGTGGGCATTGGATGCAAAACATGTCCAACATGTCTGATTTGCCCGTGCTCGTCCTGAGCAAAGGGCACAAAAAAGATGCGGAGGGTCCAGAGCCACTCGGGGCTGATCTCACCTTATGTGTTTTGCCCTTGGTACAAGCCTGTGTCCCTGCACGCATCGCCATGGCCCTGTGAATCGCTCAGTTCAAAAATTGTCTTGGGGCAGCAAGGGTGCGAAAGCTCAGTGCCTTGTATGGCTGCTGTGACAGTGGAAGATGACAGAGTCAGGTATCACGCCAGGCGGTTTCAAGAGAAACAAGCAGAAGCTGTCCTGCATCGCTACGATCTAAAAAGGCAGCAGATGGACAGGGCGGAGTTGGAGAAACACGCCTTTCATGTAGCTTGCTGGGTGGTTACGTTTCCAAAGGAAGCGACTCTGAATCACCACGGGCTCTCGGTGGCCAGTGTGTTATCTGGATATGTGGAAGCGCTGCATGATGGGCAGCCGCTTTGCACGCACTTGACAGCGATTTTGGAACTTGTGCGACGCACTTGCAGCACTGGCGTTGACTCCCTGGGAGCGTTGCTTGGCCAAATCGACGAGCTCTTGCCGCCCACAGACTTGGGACCAGCTAGCGAATCTGGCGCAATGCCACAGGAAGCTAAGGCAGTGCTTTTGATGCAGAGGGCCATACAGAGATGGAAGAACAGCGAGCCAGGAGCTCGAGAATCCTACGTCACGAAACTGGAGCAGGAATTGGAAGAATCGGACGACCCTGCTGCTCTTCAAAAGATTCTGCGCCGTGCTGTCGCAGCCTTGTCGCCGCCCCGATGCCAAGGCGAGACCGCGCCGAGCAGTTCATCTCACGGTGAGCTGTCAGTATGTGCAGATTTGCAAGCCCGTCTTCGCAAACTGGTACTGCTGTGCCTGGATAACTTGGATTTGGCAGATGCGTCAGTGGTACCTGCGCTGCAGTGCTTGCAGGCACATTTGCAGAAGTTTGAGGAGCTATTGGCCAGGGAAAGCTTGGTGGCCAGCCAAAGGCATTGGCTTCGGTTACAGGCCAAGTGTGCTGGTTTCCGCATGATTGAGGCTGGCTCCAGCAGCATGTCACAGGCTGCTTCTGCGACAGGCCCATGCCTTGATGACACGGACGTTAAACGAAGCACGGGTGGGAAGACAAGGAGATGCCAGCATGGCGAGCTGCGGTCTTGTCGCTTCTGCTCTGGCTGCCCGCATGGCAAGGCAAAGCAGAACTGCAAGCAGTGTAGCCCTTGCCCCCACGGCAAGATAGAAAGAAACTGCGCGCAGTGCTGCGGCTGCCCACACGGGAAAATGAAGCAACGCTGCCCTCAGTGCAGCGCGTGTCCACACGGCAAGCTGAGGCAAAACTGCCCAGAGTGCAGCGGCTGTCCGCATGGCAACGTGAAGCGCGGCTGCCGGCGTTGCCAGCGGTGCGTGCACGGAAAGAGGAAGCGCCACTGCTCGCTGTGCTGCGGGTGCCCCCATGGGAAGGTCAAATATGACTGCGCGAAGTGCAATGCATCCCGCACAGCACGCGGAAGCGAAGCGCGCCGTGACAAGAAAATTACAAGACGCTTTCTCAGATCTGGAGAGGTATCTTGACCCCTGACTGATACACCCCCGTCAAACATCAGGGAATCTCGTGACACATGTGTGTTCCCGACAGGTCTCAAGAGTCAACTTGAGCTGGAGCCCCCCCCACCCCTCTGCGTCGTGGGGCTGGAGGGCCGGGAATGATATCGGGAAGACGTGATATGTGTTGGCATCGTGCAGCTAATGGTGGTAGTGCATCACACAAATGAGCATAATATATAAATCAGCGACACGTTCTGTGAGGCGAGAAGCTTTGGAGCAACATGCGAGGGATATAATTCCCAAGGACAACAGCATTTGCAAGGAGCCCTCATTTGCTTCCTTGTTCCTGCTGTGCTCGTCCGACCTAGCGATGTCAAAACTCAAAACCACTGTTGACTCCACCGTAGGGACCCGTTTGGGAACAAACAGAAAGAAAAGCGACCTTCACCAACCATTTTCAGGGGCCCTTAGGGAAGGAACTTGCGTCCTTGTGTTTTCCTAGGGCTTACATAGCTTTCTATCCTTACCCTTCCGGGGACAGTGGCGAACAGGACCTCGGCTTCTTTGGGAAGCCTGACCGCCAGTTTTATGTTGCTTCCCTTTATGAAGGGGTCGAAGAAAAGGCCCGTGATTTTGACGGCTCGCTTCTTCGGTATCAAAACAAGCGAAGGACCTCATGCGGGGGGAGGGGGGAGGGTCGTAGGCGCTTGGGCTTCCCAATTCTCGTCTCTTTAAATTGTTGTGGCAAATTGACATGGAGCCCGGAAGCGCGGGGGTCACGCGAAAAGCGATTCCGCTAATGATGAGCTTTTGGGGTTCCATGTTCATGTCCAGCGGAGTAGTTGCGGGTGCCCTACATGATTGATTTGTTCGTCCTGAGCGAGCCTTGGTGTGGAATTCTGCCTTTAAGATCGAGAGCCACTTGGGACATGTGCAATCCTCGGGGCTGGATTCCCTTCTTGCACAGATGATAGCCATGGCCCTGTGTATCGCTAAATCCTTTTGAGGCAGCACGGGTTTGGGTGAAAGCTCAGTGGCTCGTATGGCTGCTGTGTCAGTGGAATATGAGAGAGTCAGGTATCACGCCAGGCGTTTTCAAGAGAAACAAGCAGAAGCTGTTCTGCATCGCTACGATCTGAGAAGGCAGCAGATGGGCAGGGCGGAGTTGGAGAAACACGCCTTTCA